AGTTTCCTTTGGAAGTCATTCTGCTGACCTCCCTAGCGATGGTTTGCTCCATTTACAAGAGCTGCAAGAAGTTGGGTCTATTGCGCCATCACTTCTGCCAGGTTCGGTGGTGGTGATGGCGGAATGTTCTCCTCAACAGGCGGTGGGGTATTCTCTAGGTGGAAGGGTATCCCTCCACGTCCACGGCCATGGCCACGGTTGTTGCCACCACGCCCCCTGTTTGGTTCGACTGGTACGGGGGTGGGCGCACGTCCATGGTTCATTAGGCGAGCAGATCGGCGGTTCGGCATCTGCAACACGGATCATAGGAATTTTAGTGTTTGTGCCATAAGTGCTTATAATTCAGTATGATTACATGATTTTGACGATTTAAAGAAAAAAATTTATACTACCCAACACTCATTACAAAGGAGCAATAAGATCCATAAGATCCAAAACATTCATTACATGGGTTTTATTACATAGCATCGTCTCCAGTAGCTACACTTGAAGACTCATGAGAATCGTACTACGCATAGAGTCTCATATTACATTTCATAAGGGGTACATCATGGGGTACAACTTATGGAAGCCACTGACATGACTCATGACCACGCAGGGTCATCTACTCTAACTCGTACACTGCAGCTGGGATACGACTGTTCTCGATCTCGATCTCCTCGTTAGACTTCTGAAGTCGGGACACGTACTTCAAGGCCTCGGCGAGCTCCTCAGTAGGCTTGGCTCCAGGTAGGGTAGGGCAGGCATCTAGGTTGAGGTGAGTCGGGGCTAACTCAAACTCCTCTATCCTAGGCTTCATTTTGTTGTGAATCTCCTTGGGTAGCTGATCCCACATACCCTTCATCTCCCTGAGGCGCTTCTTGTCAGACTTCTGCCAAGCCTGCCAAGTCCTCTCACACTTGTCCTGTAGGTACTCGTTCTGCCTGAGTGCCTTGATCAGGTGACCCTGGTTGCGAACGGCCTTCTTCTTGAACTCCTCTAGCTCCTGAGTCATGGTCTTGTTCTTAGATTGGATTTTTAGCAAATCAATCCCCTTGGACCTCTCTCTGTCTCCTCTACGGTTGAACTCGGCCTTCTTGTTGTCCAACTCTCTCTGCAACTCCAAGACCTTGCTGTCGAGGTAGCAGTTCCTGTTGCCTAGGTCAGCGGCTTTGTCCTGTAAGTCAGCGACCTCGGCTCTGTGGACTTCTTCACGACGGTTGAGCTCATCCTGTAGCTTGACAACTGTCTCAAGCAGACTAGCTCGCTCATGTGTTCCCTGCGAGTCTCGCTCCTGGTACTCCCACAGAAGGGCCTAGTCCTATCGTCTCCTCTGCTCAAGCTAGGTCACGTACCTGTCCTGCTCTAGTAGGTGGATAGCCGAGACGCGAAGACATCTGTCCTCCTCGGCAAAGATAACTCTACCGGCTATGAAACTCTGCTCACTAGGGGTAAGGCTGAGGTTGAGGGCCTGGGGAAGTAGACGGAACTCTATCGTCTTCAGGTGCTCGTAGTGGTCCCTCATTACTCTACGAAGTGCCTTGTGTGAGACAGCTCATAGTCCCCCCTCAACTGTGTCCTCTATAGTCAACTCAATGAAAGCTGGGACAGAAGGTAAGGTAGTGCTAGCTGGGAACTCGACTGAGGTGACAACTGGTCCTCCGATTCCTCTTTCCTGAGCTGACTTCCCGGTGCAGGTGACCTTGAAAAGCTCATCAGGGACTCCTAACGTGATGAGAACTCGGCAGAGGGTCTGTGCAAAACCCCCGAGCTCACGTAGGTCGAAGGTAAGCTTGGCGTGGTCTAGAGGTAGCGGTCCTAGAGGCGGCCATTCGACGTTCGTTGCCATCTGCATGTTTTAAGGAAACAGGTGTTAGCAGGTCAATAAATAGATAAGCCTTGCATGAAAGTAAATGCAAGGTCGGTATATAACCGAAAGAAGGGCTGTTCACATCCTATTCTATCGTCCATTTCTGAGGGTTTCGTCCTAGGGTCAAGTATGCTCTGATACCAACTGAAATGACCTGATTTCCGTGAAGAGAAATCCACAGAGTCGAAGTGTATTATGACCATTGTAGATCATATTACCCAAATTCCAGTCAAATACCACATCCATACAATGATAATATCAGAGTACAAATAGTGCAGAATTACATAAATTATTATATCGCCGCATTGGCGGAATCAAAAGTAGCATTCATTTAGAACAGCTTAAAGATAAGATCGTCAAACTAGAGCGTAGGAACGAACCCCTCAACCGTCAAACTCCTCAGAGCTATACTCCTCAGCAGAACCTGTGTACCAAATTTTATCAGTATGATTTGTACTGGCCACTCCCACCCTATGAGCTATGCTTTGTGGAAATTGGATGCAAGTTGGATATAATCAGAAGGAACCTATAAGGCTGGGGTTTCCTATGTATTAACATATCAAGTATATAATAGTATAGTCAAGTTTTAACACCATTCCCACACACATTCCACCCCATTTCCGTCCAGAGCCAGGTTTTGATCCTGGGATTGATATACCACCATCTCCATATCATCACCACACCATCGCTCAGTCAACAGGCCAACTCCCTCTCGGTACTATCTCATGGCCCGTAGCCCCTGGCTACGACCGACACTCTCTCACAGGGGAAGAAGAGAATGACTCATCTCACTATCTAGTTTAAGCGAAATCCAGGAAAGGTCCATAGCCGACAAGTCGACATATGTATCGATCGATCAACCATACATTCTGCAGAGGTTTTACATAACCACAAGATCCGCCTTCCTCGCTGACCGTCGTCAACTGGGCTGATTCCGGCCGCTTGCTAGCCTAGGATAATGCCACCCTACCATTCAGCCCTAGTACACCCCAAGTCTAGTCTGGGATGGCTGAAACTGTGAGTCATGAGCCGGGTCCACAAGGTCTCCATGAAGTCTCGGAAGGGTGTGGGGGGAATCCTCCGTGCCCCGTACCTCCTCGCACTGTCCGCTATCAAACTAGCAGTAGTGGCAATATCCTTTCAAGTAGTCTGGCCGTCCCGCACCATATAGGGCGAGTGGTACGTAAGGCTTCCTAGTGAATCTGAGTACTAGTAAGTCCTTAGGGATGACCAAGCCAGAATGTCTTCATCAGGGTTTCCATTTACCGTGCCACCACAGCACCTCCACCCTGGGCTCCTCCCATCACAGGTTCACACCCAGGGCCACCTCATATATCATTTACCCACCACAGGTATCCATTTCCAGGGGTGCCCAGGTAGCACCCCACGGCAAGACTTGCCCCAGGCTCGTCGTATATTCCAACTTGGTCGACACAACCCTCACCCTCCACGCACCCAAGTCACACACGCAGCACTCTTCCCATAGTCCGGATAACACCAGTTTCCACCACGCATCAATGTAGTACAAGCGTAGTAGAAGTATTAAGCAATGAAATATAGCAGCAAGCGTGTGTCTAGCCTAATAGCAGGGTAAGCAGGGGTAAGGTTGCGTCAAGATATAGGCCATCAAGTAAGCATACTACCATGCAAGTCCTATCTTAGTGTGAATATAACAATAAAGTAAAGCAATAGCAGTTCTATATTAGCCATGCGTAATAGGTGCTACGAGATTGGGTGGGATGTGGCACCTTCAGTGTAGTCGTCTCCGTACTCCTCACGGTACTCTCGGTCCTCGTCCGTCTGGTTCTCCTCCGAGTCTGCAAACGATCGCATTATAATCCCGTTAGCGACGTCTATAGAATAGCACAAAAAGCAATGAAAATTCAAAAGAGCCAAATGCACTCAAACATGGGTTCATTGCGTAGAGCTCGATTTTAGATGAATTTTGGTCCTAGTCTTGTATTTTTCTGAGTTCGTATGAATTAGTTATGGATTTCTGAAGTTTCAAGCATTTCTGAAAATGGGAAAGGCTGAATTAATATCGTGCTGACACATGTCACGCTCCTGTTGGTCCACGTGGCATGCTGATGTCAGCATGACATCATCGTCTCGGTTCTGGTACTGACAGGTGGGGTCCCGCATGGCGGTGTCACTGACATGTGGCCCCGGTCAACGGTCAACGTTGACCGGTCAATGGTCAATACAGGCCGGGCCTCGAGTGGGCTGGTTGGGCCTGGATTTGGGCCAGGCTTGGCCCGCCACGTGGCACGTGTTGGTGCGGCCACGTCACGACCCTGGGCCACTACTGGGCTCTGGTCCACCGATCCGGTGCATGGTGGACTGCGCGGTGTTGGTTCGTGGATCGCAGACACGGTCTATGTAGTCCGGGTCCACCGATCCTTCTCCTCCGTTTGATTCACCAGGATCGGGTGCACGCGTACGTGAACCAGGCGGGGAGAATTCCCCATCATCCCCGACGCTCTTGCCGGCGGTGAGCTCGCCGGTGAGCCTCTTGGGCGGTACTGGTGCGCGATTAAGGTAGGCAAAAGCGTCGCCAAGCCTCGGCGAGTGCAGTGGTGGGGTCAAGGTGGCGGCTGGGGCTTCCTAGGGTTCTGGCCACGGTGAACGGCGGCGTGGGTTCGTCGGTGTGCATGGACAGGGCTGCAGTGGTAGCGAGAGCCCAGTTGGAGGAGCGTGTGAGCTCCACGGTGCTTCTATGGCCATGGTAGGCATGTTGAAGGAGCTCCTGGTGCTCCTAGTGGCTCCATCCACTGTGGTGGGGGCAAGGCGGTGGTGGTGGCGCTCCGACGAGGTGCGGTGCGGCAACGTAGGGCTCTGGTGGGCTTCTTCCTCGGCTAAGGTGAGCGCGGTGTGTCTCTCGTCATGGCAGAGCCAGTCGGGGTGTCAACGTCGCCTTTATCGCGACGTAGAAGACCCGGTGGTCTCGGCATGGTTGTGCTCTCGGCCATGGTGAGCGTGCCCGTCCATGTGCGCTCCTGCTCCGATGTACAACGTCATGGCTGGGGTCCTCCTTTTGGCTAATGGCAGCGCGCACGGCGTGTCCTAGGTCTCGGCAAGCGTGGCCATGGCGGTCTCCCTAGCTAACCAGTTTGGCTAGGCCGGAGCTCGAAGCTTCAGCAAGGTTTCGATCATGGCAGTGCACGTTCCATTTGGTTAGGGAGGTGGTCTCAGCAAGATGGCTCACCGCGGGGAGCTCGAAGGCGATGGTGGTGGTGCGGTGTCGATGGTGTAGCAGACCTGAGCCGGGACAGAGGTACTCGCCGTCTTCCGCGCCGGCGGCTCCTCCCTTCTTGCTCCGGCAGCGGCGTCCTTCTCCGCGCCTCTCCTTCTCCTCTCGTCCCTCGGCTTAGTGTGTTGGTGCGAACCACACGGCGGCGGCGAGGTGTGGTGAGGTGTTAGGGTTCCAGGCTCCTCCTTTTATAGGCGAAGCTCCAGGCTTCTCCAATGGTGGTTGATCGGGCGGCGGTGATGCGCGATGCGCATCAGATGGCTCACGGGCGCGGGGCAGTTGTCGTGGGGGTCGTGTGAGCGGTACGCCAAGGGGACAGGGTCATGCTCTTTGCGTGACCCCGGGCCCGCGCCTGCTGCTCTGGTCGGTTCCCGGTCGAGGGAGAGATCGGCGTGGGGAGGAAGAAGACCCTGTTGCTGTGTGACTGATGACAGGGGCCCACCCGTCAGTTTGTCCTAGAGCGGGGAAGGTTGCAGCTGCTGCGCTGTGCTGCTGGGCCGCGGTGTTGGGCCGGCCTGCTCTGGCTGGCGCACGGGGGAGTGAGAGGGAGGGGCCCTCGGCTGGGCTGGGCAGGCCGTTTGGGCCGAAATGGCCTTTGCCATTTTCTGGTATTTCTTGAAGGCTTTTCTATTTTCTGTTTTCAGCAATTAGTTACTAAGTCAAGGTTTAGTCAAAGTGTCTTAGGTTTTATTAGCTTGATGGTGGTTTACAAGGGTCGAACATGGTGGTTTTTACCTTTCCCATATATTAGGGATATTATTGACTATTTTTGTTATACAAAAATAGTTGTGGTTTTTTTATTAAGGCATTTTTTCAAAATCTGGATATTGATTTAATTCACGGAATTTAACAATTGTTATGAGGGTTTATTTACTCATCACATAAATCAATAAAATCCAAATCACATATTGAATTAAGATGCATGCAAGATTCTATTTCATGGGAGTTTCAAATACACATGTGACAATGCATCATGCTCTGCTTATGATATAACCTAGTTGGGTTGCACCTAATGCAAAACTAGGGTTTGGGTTCCACACATGTCACTTAACAATACATAGGTTTTTAAATAAAAAAAATTCAGTTGAAATTTTTGGTGTGTGGATTTTTAGGTTGTTACAGTATTGGAATGCATATCTGACATGATTGCATTTGTATGCAGATGCCAAGCGTCTCATCGGCAGGAGGTTCTCTGATGCCTCTGTCCAGAGCGATATCAAGCTGTGGCCCTTCAAGGTCATTTCTGGGCCTGGTGAGAAGCCAATGATTGTTGTCCAGCACAAGGGTGAGGAGAAGCAGTTTGCAGCTGAAGAGATCTCCTCTATGGTTCTCATCAAGATGCGTGAGATCGCTGAAGCTTACCTTGGCAGCACGATCAAGAATGCTGTTGTGGCAGTCCCTGCCTACTTCAACGACTCACAGAGGCAGGCCACAAAGGATGCTGGGGTGATTGCTGGCCTCAATGTGCTGCGTATCATCAACGAGCCAACTACTGCTGCTATTGCCTATGGTCTTGACAAGTAGGCTACCAGTGTTGGCGAGAAGAACGTCCTCATCTTTGACCTTGGAGGTGGTACCTTCGATGTCTCCCTCCTCATCATCGAGGAAGGTATCTTTGAGGTCAAGGCCACAGCTGGTGACACCCATCTGGGTGGTGAGGACTTTGACAATAGGATGGTCAACCACTTCATCCAGGAGTTCAAGAGGAAGAACAAGAAGGATATCACTGGCAACCCGAGGGCTCTCAGGAGGCTGAGGACTGCTTGTGAGAGGGCGAAGAGGACTGAAATATGCTGAGAAAAAAAATTATTTTTTTTTTTTGAAAAATAGGTTTGCCGAGTGTAATTTCAAAAACACTCGACAAACAATAATAGTATGCTGAGAAAAAAAAAATCTTTGAAAAATAGGTTTGCCGAGTGTAATTTTCAAAACACTCGTCAAACAATAATTCTTTGCCGAGTGTATTTTAAAAAAACACTCGGCAAACCACTTTTTTTGCCGAGTGTCAAATTTGACACTCGGCAAATAGCTATTCGCCGACACTATAGATGTCGTGTGCTGTTTACCGAATGTTACACTCGGCAAAGCCTTTGCCGAGTATTTTTTAGTCTTTGCCGAGTGTCCGTGGCACACGGCAAAGTCAATGTTTCCGGTAGTGAACACACGTGTAGAGATTGTCGGTTTACGCGCCATTGCCCTAACGCAGTTATTGACCGTTGGTGTCCGCTCATAGTACTATAACGAACTTGTACATTGTCGTTTTCCACCTTACACAATGCACGTGTATATTGTCGGTTTGCACGTCATTGCTTAACGCAGTTATAGCAGATTGTTGGTGTCTCCTCGTAGCATAACGAACCTGTACATTGTCGTTTTATGTCTGTTGATTGACGGCGGTACAAGTATTGTCGGCTAAGACCATTGCTCGAAGCGTCTCGAAACCAACAATCTACACGTTTGTTAAGTATAGAGCAACATAAATCGTTTTATGTCAGAAACCAACGGTCTATAATCGTGTTAGCAATGACACGCGAAACCGACAATCTACACTTTCGTTATGTAAGGATCGGAGCTACCGCTTGTTAAGTATAGAGCAACATAAATTTCAAAACTCCAATTTGGAAAAGCCCAATCTCTCTCTAATAAGCTTCCTATTAGGATCCTCTAACTTTCCAACAAGACTTCTTGGACCTGTTGGCGTGCACTTAATCGTTTGTCCTCTATAGCATACAGCTATGTACATCTTTAAGCCATCCTTAATTTGTTTTTTTAGTAACAAAAACGAAGATATGATATAAAGGTATTTGTTTTTTGTGCAACAGAAATCAGAAGACTACACTCAAGCAGTGACTGACCAGGGCAGGGCATATCTCTCCGGCCCTGGGGTGGAATTGGAATCTTGGAGATGGAAGCCTGCAGCTGCAGGCGCTACAGATAGAGGGCGTTTACTCGTGTCCTCTCACGTAAACCGGCCGGGCAGTCCACACTCCACCGGGTTTTCCGCTTCCGTTTCAACTGGCGGGTATAACGCTCGCGTCGCGAAGCCGCGGTGACGCGCAAGGCCTGCACGCCGGACTCGCATGACGCATCCAGTCCTACAGCATCCAATGCCTGGTGTGCTGAGCACCCCATACAAAAGTTTATTTTAGGCCCTCTTTAGATGCAATTTATTTTGGAGTTTTAGACAAATATAATACCAAGGTTTTGTAAAATAGTTTAGGTTTTTAAGCACCACGAAGTGTTTCGGTGTATCAAACTTTACCATTTTGAAAACCATAATATTGCTAAAACTATAGTTTTTTGGAGTTTTATAAAATCCACTCTAGACATCTTTTTTTAAAAAAAAACATAGCTTATGTGCATGTCTATAGGTACCTCTAGTCATCTTTTTTTTAACCATAGCTTATCTTTCCTGCTCCATTCCTCCCAAAACAACATATTTCTAGTTTTTGTCAAATAATACTATTTTCATTTGATCAGGGACTCAAAGGTTATAGACAAACCTACCATTATTTGTGATAATAAATAAGTACCACACTGGATTCATCATTAAGTACATTCTTATATACAACATATACCTACTTCTCATAAATATTGATGATTTTCTATAAGTTTGGTCAAACTTTAAAAGTTACTTATTAAATCACCTTTTGGATCTTATATTGTTCAGTTACAGGTCAAAAATTTGACCACACCATATCCCGGCCCTCCCCTCCCCACCTAACCACCCACACACACCACAAAATCCATAACCAACCAAAAATGTTTTCATGTATATGTCATATATGTACTCATGCTGGTGTTGTTCTTGTACCTTCTGCCACCACTATTTTTATTCTATTTTTATTATGCATTTGCAAGTCAAATATTCAAACTTTTTTCCTCTGAATTTTTTAAATAAAAATCAAAACCTTTCTACATGATTTTTGCAAACTTTTAGAGTACATTAAAAAAACTTCCTGCTTCTAACTTTTTATATTGAAACTTTTCTACATGAATACCAAAAACTTTTACTACCTAGAGAGAGAACTTCCTACACCCAAACTATAGTAATATGTATATCAAACCTTGAAACCTAAATTTTGTAAAAGAAATTACATGTAAATAGCCAAAATTTAATGTCGTAGATCCAAACATTTCTACTTGAATATGAAAACTTTTAAATCCCATATAGAGAACTATGTACATTATTAAAACTTTTCAACTGTATATAAAAATGTGTCCACTTGAATTTTGAAAAAAAAAATCAAATTACAAGCATAGAACTTTCCAAATCCCAACATTCAAATTTTAGATATAAATTTCCTATAGCTCCATCTTTAAGGGTATGTTTGGTAGAGCTCCTCCTACTCTTAATTCTCTGTGAGAAGTGATTCTCAAATAAAGTGATTCTCAAATAAAGTAATTCTCTAATAAAAGTTATTCGATGGCTGAAAGTGATTCTCCTAGATTCTCTAAGATAAACTATATAGGTAAATAGTTATTCTGTGAAAAAAAGTGAATTAAGAGATGCTATTTTAGCTTCTAGCCTTCTAGCTTTTTCAAATAATCAATCAGCACAGGATCCCTTATCTTTAAAATATTTTTGGCAGATCTTCTATTGGATTTAGCCTAAAAGTTGCTTCAGAAGTTTTCCCAAACAAACCATAAATATAGATCAACTTCGTATCTTTGTTTATAACTTTCAAATAGTAGACCAGAACCCTCTCTACATCTATTCTGAGGCTTTGTAAAACTACAACTTTTAAGTATTTATTATTCATTTTTTCATATATAAGATTTGAATGTTTATCAATATATCCACAAAATATGATGGGACCCAAGCTGCCAACCCAGCCTTTTTTTCTTTAACTAATATGTTCCACATAAAAATTTGGCTATGGGAAATGTCACTTTCAAGGGTTAGCCCGCTGCCCAAGTATTTATGATACTGCATTTAATTAGCATAAAATGATATTGTATTCAAGTCAAACCATTTTGAATTTAACCAAGTTGATACAAAAAAAAGTTATCGATATTTATGATACCAAATATATGCCAATAAACTCGCTATAGAATATATGTTCATGGTATGCCTATTTGGTGTCATAAATATTGATACTCTTTTCTTAAATTTATTCAAACTTTAGATTATCAAATAGTTAGACTGAACACATATATAGAATTACACCCTTTTTAGGACGATGATAATATCACCAATTTGTCAAAATAACAAAATGTGATATACTGATCCAGTTACCTTTTAGGGCACATGCAAATGCAAAGGCACATAATAATCAATAATGTAATATAGACACTTAAAGAGAGAGAATAGTTAATTAAGCAATTGTAAGAGCCTTTATGCCTACAATGGAGTCTTTTTTTTGTTGCTATAGATTTGTCTAGGCTATAACTTTCGTTTTTTCATGTGTTAATAGATTCTTTTTTTTTGGAATTTTTTTTTTTTGGGCATCATTCGTGTGTTAATAGCTTGATGAGGCGCCAACTGCTTAGGAAGGCAACGGATGCAAACTCAAGCATGAACCCACCTCCGATCCACCATGTGTGGCTAAAAAAAAAGTATCGAGTGCCTGCAAGTGCCGGTCCAAACGGCCCATTGTGCGTGGTCTTTAAGGGACCAACGATTTGTACACTAGGTTGGTAACGAGTGCTCTAAGGCAGGACGACCAACGAGAGAGGTAACAGGAGCTGTGATCTTATTTAAAAGTTACAGGCCATGCATGCACGTAGATGCTCTGTCTGACGTCGCCTATATATCGCGCAGGCCATGATGATGCTTTGTTGTTCCTATATATAGGTCTACGATGCTAGTCCATGACGTTGTCCCGATCCAGTTCCAGTTCGACTAAGGCTGGACGAAAAACTCAAAGCTCGTTAGCTCGCTCGGCTCGTGGCTGGCTCGACTCGGCTCGGCTCGGCTCGTTATGATAACGAGCCGAGCCAAGCCAAGATTTTAGCTCGTTAGCTATAACGAGCCAACTCGAGCCAGCTCGCGAGCTAAACGAGTCAAGCTTCCAGAAAAAAAAGTATCAAAACTTATATTAGTTTTGATATTACTTCATGTCTTGCACTTTACAATTGACTGGTAACTGGTCTAGACCCTATAAATTGACTGGTAACTGGTCTATATGTATTTCTTTTATATTATTATTATTCTCAAACTTTAGATAAATGCAAATATTATATTTTGTGTATTTTTTATACCTGGCTCGCGAGCTTAACGAGCTAGCTCGAGCTTTTAACGAGCCGAGCCGAGCTGGCTTTCTGGCTCGTTAGGATAACGAGGCGAGCCGAGCTAGCTCGTTATCTTAACGAGCCAGAACGAGCCGAGCCGAGCCAGCTCGTTATCCAGCCTTAAGTTCAACGTACCCTCATAACAGAAGCACGTCCCTCGCGCCCGCATAACAGGGACCGTGCCCCCGCAGGGCCCATCCTAGCTCGCCGCACCCGCGTCACCTACGGCGTGGCTCGCAGCAAGCCGGTCGTTTCTCCACGGTCTGCATCTCCCTAGTCTCTGCCACAAGCTTCTGCTATAGGACCTCGATCCGACGGAGGCAGCGGAGGCAGCATGTCGTAGGGAACAGGCTGCGTACGCCAGCGCAGATGTGAACATGCGCGTCCTCCGGTGGAGTGTTGCCGCCAGTTTATCAGCCGAAGCCGCCATGGCTACCACGCTAGATATCTCTTCCTCGCTCGACAACCCTACACCCATATCTACTTTTGCAATATTGCGATGAAACAATTGCAACATAAGTCTGAAATAGATAAAACATTTGTAACATATATTTGCCTCTTGC